GAATGTCTTTGTGTGGTGTGTGCATGTGTTTGCGTGTGCGAATGTGTGCAATTTGGTGAACCCTGGATAAGCCAGTCGCCCTCTGTCACACAAATACCTTGTGACGCTTTTCTCCCTCCCATTCTGTCCCTGTCCCTGCCAGGCAGGGTTTTCATTCATACCCTCCCCTCCGCAATTCTCACATGATCCCCTGAGCTATGGAGTCCTTTCCCAGAAGTCCTTACCTGTATCTTGACATGTTTTCCCTGCTTTTCTCTAGTGGTTTCAAAGTTTTGGGTCTCACATTAATGTCTTTGATGCATTTTGTATTGACTTTTGTGCAGGGCAGGCATGCAAACATAAAAAGGCACAGCAGAAGCAAAAGACATTCTGAAGCCAAAGTCCTGGGAAGCAGGGCTTGCCTATCTGAGATTCACCCATCAGTGCTTTGCTTCCTGGCAGACATCCTGAAATTCAGTTGCCACCTGCTGCTCCTCTAACATGGCCACCAGCAGAAAAGAATGGGCTTAGGATCCCCAAGACCAAGTTCTCAGCACAAAGGAGATTTATTTACCTCAGAGGGACAGGGAGCTGGAAATAAGAGACAAAGACAGGAGATAGAGGACTAGGGAGACAGACGGGAAGGGGAAAAGAGAGAAGAGGCAGGGATATTTGTCCCAGAGGACAAAGGCCTGCCTCTGGATAGAAGGGAGACATGACCGATAGGAAAATGGCAAACTCCATGATAGAATGAGGCATTTAATTTTAATTAGGGCATGTTAATTAGGTGAGCCAAAGGGGGCTTTTGATAGCTGGACTTCAATACTCTGATAGCTGGACCTTGGTACTCAGCCTCAGGAGAAGGAAGTGGCCAAATAAGAGAATAGACCTTGGTGGCTAGCTATAGGAATGTAATCTAATGGTTTTTAGCAGGGAAGAGGGGATGGGGAAGAAAGGCAAGGCCTGCCAGAACCTTCAGGTGGCTTCAGAAATCCTTAAAACCTTTATTAGCACAGTGCATTTGGGTCTGTTATGAGCACCAGGATAAGCAGAGCTGAAAAGCAGCATCTATAGTTGAGAGATTGATCATCCAGCCAGCTGGAAGGAGTGACTGAATACTCAAGTGGACCTTGCAAATCTTTTTTTTTTTTTCCTTTTGAAGGAATATTAACTTTTAACAAGTCCAGCTCTGATTCTTTAAGAAGGCATATCTGGAGATATTTTGGAGGTGATTTTAGACAGAGGGTTTTATTTATTTCTGAGCCAGTTTTTGTGTCTCAGACTCCATCAACTTACATGTCCATGGGGCCTATGCAGGTCTCAGACTCCCCAGGCTTCAAGTCTATCCCAGACCCCTGGCCCTGAGTCTGGGGTCACCCTGTGATTTCCAAATGTTGTGGAGTTTGTGACCTCTGGGAAAAGACTATAGGATCAATCCAATTATAATTAAAAGATTTATTGGTTACTGCTTGCAAGATGAACAGTCTCTGAGACAAACTTGAGATTGCCATGTGAAACTGTCAGAGAAGGAATTTGAAAGGGGAAAACCACAGAAGGGCTGGAGTATCTGCACAAGCAAGCCAAGGCAATCCTTCTCTGCCAAGATTAGGTAGTTAAGGCAACCTCAAAATCGTCCTTGAATGTCTGAATAAGCAGGTTACAGAAGCCAAAAAGCAGTTAGTGTTTCAGACTACATCACTGAAAAGCCAATCCCAGCGTGGGTCAGAGGTAACAAAAGCTGTATCCCCAGAATTGCCGGGCAGCTCTATAATTGTTATTACTTGTATAACTTTCTGGAGAGGGGCCTTGTAAATGTTGATTACTTCTGGAACCTGTGAGCATCCCAGGAGGGGACATGTCAATTCTGCGGAAGTAACCACTCCATGGCCAGTAACTGTCCTCTAGCAGAACCTCACTCCCAAGTTCTGCAAGTCTGTCCCTCAGCAGCTTTCGAGCTCCCAAGCAGTCAGACCTCTTTCATACTAACTCTATAGCTCATTCTGGTTTGTTTGGAGCAATAACTGAAAGTAGCTGCGTGTTCAAGCTAAAGTGTAGCAGTCCTTTCCGGGAAGGTAATGCCTAAGTGTAAATGTCAGGGCCCAAAAATATCAGCTATGGTATTTTGGATGTAGGCCTCAAGCTCTATCCCTGGAACTCGAATCTCACATATGTCTTTTAGATGTTACCACCAGATGGCTTGGCCTCAGTGGAGAAGGTCTCCTAGTTTACATAACAATAGATCTAGGCCCTAGGTGGGCCCACACCTATTCTGAGGGCTATGTGCCTAGGGACTGGGAGAGGCTACTGAGGATGTGAAGTTCTAGAGATGCCTCTAGGATTAAAGGAATTATCGGATATCAGCTTTATACATGATAGTAGATGTCTTCTGATATCACCCCACAGCTGGAAAGCTATTTAAGAGGATGCTTGAATAAACAGTGGACTCCAGTCTCCAGCATAGACTGAAAGCTCTCCTGGGATGGCAAGATGTCTCAGTCTCGTCTTTATCGCCATTGGGTAGCTAGGAGTTTCCCGATCCAGACTCTCCTACTAAGGGATGGACCCAAGGTTGTTGGGCTGGCTCCAATTACAGCCCCAAAGACATCAGCCCAGAAAAGATGGCCTCTGTAGTGTGGGACTGATACAGGTTGGACTCCAGCAGGTAGAGCAAATATTTACAATTGGACTAGCAGAGCCTCCTGCGTTCAGCTTATTTCTTTGTGTCAGTTCCTCCTGGTAAATAATGATGGAGCAGCCCCTAGGATTTGATGTGGGGAGAGAAGGCTGCTGTGTGGGGGAGCCTCCGCTGTTGTGGAAACAGGTTTTGACACTTCTGATGTAACAAGTGAAAAAACAAAAAGTGTGTGTGTGTGTGTGTGTGTGTGTTTGTGTGTGTGTGTGTGTGTGTATCTTCTTCCTCTGTTACTCTCTGCCTTATTTTCAGAATCAAGGTCTCTTACAGAACCTGGATGTTGCTGTTTTAGCTAGACCAACAGGCTCCTGTAATCAATCTGTCTCCACCCACCTCCTTTCAGGCATGCACTGCCATACCTGGCCTTTTACATAGGTGTTAGATAATCAAACTCAGGTCCTCGAGCTTGTACAGTGGCATTTGGCCCTTCGAGGCATCTCCCCAGCTCCTGAAACTGTATTCTTAGAAAGCCATGATTAGGGACTAGAGAGGGATCTCCGAGGTTGAGTGTATACTGCTCTTGCAGAGGACCCAAGTCCTGTTCCCAGCATCTACCTCATGA